TTTGACACGGAAATACGTCAATCTTACGTAAACGTTGCTCTTACGTATATAGTATGAATGATACTGTGATAACTCCACAGTATCTTTAACCAAGATATTTCCTATTCATCGATCGGAAATTGTATATTAGTGTTACTTTTACTTCCTGTACGGTTAAATAATATATCGATACAGCTTTGTTTAGGTGGATATCTGCTTTTTCAATTTCATTTCACTTTGTTTTCTCTCTTTTTGGTTGGATTTTATGGGATTTTTGCTCTCGTTTTGTTGAATTTCTTTTGATATTTTCTTTCATTCAAATTTGTTTCGTTAGTAATTATTTTCTTTACATTGCTTGGTTTCATTTCTTATWTTATTAGTTTTTTATATTTTCACATTTTACTTTACTTCCTTCAATGACAATAACGTTCTAATTTATTCCTTCCAAATGGATTCTATTTGTTAAATTACTTTATTTTGAAATCAAAATTCTTGAAAAGTAATCTCACCGGCTTATCTCATTTCCCTTAATTGCTTTTTTCATTTCCAATCGCGCTCAATTTTATAGTAGTAGTAACTCAAATACTTCAGTAACTACTCATGGATAAGTACAGTTCAAGGCCCAACCCTAGTACCATAACAAAGCACAGTCTTTGAACTATATACCATCTTATTAGTGCAAGTGAAAGATTTTTTTGTTCTGATTTTTTTATTCTTTTTTTTTTGCACTATCTTGTATATAATCGCACGGTGAATGTGGTTATCATTACGATGAGAAACGAATCTGAGTTTATTGTGTTTGTTTTCCAAATCTTCTTTGCATATCGCTAATCCTCTAGTTTGCCAATGTTTTTTATTTAAACTAAATTTTATCTACACAGTCTTTAGTAACGCTCATGATTTCCCACATTATCGCTTTTCACACAACATGGTCTAACTATACAATTTTCTACTTTAAGAAAAAGAGGCTGAAAAAATAAACTTGTCTTCTTGTTCAAAGCCGGCAATTATCTCCAAAACCCGAGCCTTTATTTGTATTTCTCAAATTGCATTTTCATACTTTACTCTTAATAAGTGTTTCAAACATATTATTTCTGTTAAAACATCTGCATGTTTTAGTGTTTTTCTTAATGAATTTCCATCCTATCTCTTTCCGTACCGAGTAAATTGACCACATAGATTTACGCAATGACAGTGATATTTGCTAATTCATAGAATTATAGCCGTCAGGGATGATATTTTGCGACAGTTTGAGTCTCCATTAAGCTTTAGTAGCATGTAATGGCCTCTAATGAGTTATTCATATCTTCTATGAATCTAAGATGTAATCTATTATCAGGGTCATATTGCTCACAACTCGTTTAGCGGTAYKTATAACCAGCGGATATTGAGTCATGATCTGTTAGTGATTTGCATCATAAAAGACCCAGCGGTCRCGTCAAATGTACACTATACACACAGCAGATTYGTRCTGACCTGTTGGTATTAGTCCACATAATTCAGATTGTTACTACTGAGGTTAACCTCTCAAATTTGCTACTTGGACACGGGCTGTAAGTAGGTACTTTGYCATTCTTTGTAGAGAACACCATTGCCTAGGACACTTCACTATCTGGATTTTGATTTCCAGTGCGGAATCKTTAGAATCTGCGGTTTAGAACTTTTACTAAAGGTAACCAGTTTATAACTTGACGTAAAAGATTTGCGTCTACTAGCTGGTTTCTGGGAATCTTTGCTTTCATTACCTAGAGCTCTTAATCAAGATTTTGTGTTTAGCGACAACAATAGCACTTAGTTGTCCAGCATTCAAACGAAGCAGCGATCTGGTTTGAATACAGTGCTTAATAATCTGGRCTAAAGTTTACATTTTGGATATCTGTCCTTACGGATCTTCATAAGTTTGGATTTTGAGGCTCATTAATTTGCCTGTCTTGAAGACGCACGCTGATATCAATAGGAACACCTACAGATCTCCAGTCGAGATTTGGGTCAACAAAAGTAATTTTGCGGCTACAAATATTCTGTTGTCAATGATTTTCAATCATTGCATGGGCTCATCTTTCAGCGCTGAAGTTTTTCCTTCAGTTCCTATTGTTTTATAAGTGGAGCTGTATATTGGGTAGTTTTGCAAAGGACCATAAATTTGGTTCATTGTTGGAAACCGACTGTCTTTAGATCCTTTCAAAAGATTAACCTAAAAAAACAAAGGCTATATCTGTATTGGTGTAGGCTATAAACTGAGATCTATCCTGGTCCAAAAKATTTTGTAGGCCGTTTATCGACTGTTATATTGGATATACTATCCCTTAGAATGCCAAAGGGTTCAATGATAGGACCAAGATAAGATTAGTCCACTCTGCTGTATTTGATATATAGACAGACGCTATACTAGAACGAAAAAAAATAAATAAAAGGAACAGCCCACGGGGAATCTGAGGGAACCACACGATAAATACACTTGAAAGATCMMATGAAAGAATCCAAGGGAGTARRAAAAGGTTCTATCCTGGGGCCAACAAGCAATTAACGCTGACTTTGACGCTCTGGAAGTGAAAACASATCAGTTAAGGAAGTCTTTTTCGCAGTTATTTCATTRTGTTTAACAAAAGAGCTTTGTACTGGACACTTGTAGTAACCGTCTACTTTGCCAGGCATTGTCAATTGTGCAATTAATGTTGTGGTTTCTGTYCMGACAGCTGTAATTTTTTGACATTAATTTAACCAATTCAAACGATTTTTTAACAACTGACAAAGGTTTACCATCAAWTGYATGCTGTTCTATTATACGGCGTTTTTACTCGAAAATTAGAGTAAATTGCCCGAAGGAAGTTCAATTTCATGAATAAGCAATATTCCTAAGGTTTGCCAATATTGTCTTCGTATTCAATTGGTGTCAAGAAAGCAATTAATTTACCGGTTTTCAACTCAAAACACACCTGCTTCAGYCGAYCCAATAGAGAAACACTATACAGATACTTATAATACAGAAATCTCGCCGAGGAAGGTTCAGTGGGAGACTGCAGTCCTAAGTAATTTACCTCTCATTGGTTCATTTCAAAGTAAATCGTCGTTCATATTCAAAGCGRATAATGGATACTTCAAACACTACGAATGGAAGTGATGTTCTTGGATGTTCTATTGRACCAGACAGTTCTTTAAGCAAAGGTTTCAAGATCCTTGGATATGTGCTAATCGCGGTATTATCGCTATTTGGTAATGTCCTAGTTGTATGTGTAGTAACTCGTTCTCCCAGAATGCGTACAGTAACAAACTACTTCATTGCGAACGTATCTATWGCTGACTTGTTAACTACTGTATTTAACATGGTACCTACATTATACTGGGTRATAACAGGGTTGGATGTCTGGTATATGGGTGGTACTCTAGGAGAGGCGTTATGTAAGTTGCTACAATTCTTTCAACTTGTGTCCATAGCGTGTTCTGTGTTCAGCATGGTAGCTATAGCCTTCGACCGAGTGTTTTCAATCTACAGGCCATTAAAACGTACGATAACATTTCCCAGAGCTAAGGGTTTAATAGCAGTGATATGGTGTGCATCGTGTGTGATATCATCACCCAATCTATATACCCTACGACTAGTGACCATAGACGGCATAGGATACTGCGCGGAGAAATGGGGACCGCTGTTTGACGAACAGAACTCACCCCTCTTCTACACCATCGCGCTATTTGCAGGTTTATACGCTATTCCATTGATTTTGATTGGAGTCCTTTACACGATCGTGGTTGTACGACTTTGGAATCGACCCACACCCGGACAGCGCTCGGTGACTAATCGGACTAACCGAGAAAAGACGAATAGAAGAGTTCTCAAAATGCTTATAACCGTAGTGGTGGTTTTCGCGGTGTGTTGGCTTCCTTTGTATGTTCGAATGTTTCTTATGTTTAGTTATCCTGTGGAGTATTATTGCGGCTTACCATATCATCTTGACTTTATCACGTTATACTTAGGACACGCAAACAGCTCGGTTAATCCCTACATTTATGTCATTTTCAATGAGAACTTTCGCAAGGGTTTTGTCGCAGTTGTTCATAAGCGTGGCTTCTCAGAGAGATACAGTAAAAGCTCAAGTCGAATGGGCTCAGTACATCACAAAGAGAGCGGAAAGTTAATTGTCAAGCATAAAACGACTGAAAAACTGCCTTCGAGATTAGCAACTCCGTACAATTCATCATCCAAGTCTGGGGATGTAGTTTTACTCAGAAAAGATTCCATACAAAAAGACACAACTTCAATTTAGTTTTTTTGAACGAGTTTGATTTATGTTTTGTTTTGTGTTGTCATTTATGTATTTCCTGACATATTAATGCATTGCGTTCTATTGATCGTTGTATCTGCTTATTCATATGTTTCTTTCTCATCTATTCTTTGTAAATTCCTTCATCCATCCATTAATGTTTTTTATTTGTTTATTATCTTGTCTGTTCATTAGCTACACCAATCTATTCATTGATACGCTCGTTTTTTATTTGCTAATTCATCCATCCATTTTTTATTGATATTTCGTTCATATATTCACTTTTTATCCCATAATTCATGCCTTTGTTGCGTTCATTTACTTAACCTCCATCATTGACGCATTTCTGTATTTTTTTCACTTTCTTCAAACGTGCATTTATCGACCACATCAACCACAATGATAAAAGAATAACCGTCGATTACGCATTTCAACTTGTTATGCCTATTTTCATCTTTCTCACAGATATATACCTTAACTAAAAGTATTATATTAAATTCTAGGACTCAATTTCTTTGCTTCCTGTCAGTTAGCGTCAAATCCAAATGGATCTCATTAATTAGAYTACACTTCAGCATATCTCAAGTAACCCTACATCGTTATAGCTTCATTCAGTTTTATTTCACGGCGGGTCCCTTCAAACGTCTCACAATTGATAATCTGGTCGTCGGTTTTACTATCAAACAAGTAATCCTCTTATCGACAAGACTGTATGCTATGGTTATTGCTAACAACATCGTACTTTATTGGAGTATTGACTTAGTAGGTATATATGGGTGTGTCACATGAATCATACACCGAAAAAAAAATGAACTATCTGAAAAGTATGCAAAAAACCCTAGAAATAGAAATACTGTAAATGTTTAATTTAGTAATTTAACTACCTTTTCAATGTAGTATATTGAGTAATTTTAATTTATAATTTTGAAGTTATAAATCGCTGTGAAAATATAGAATAAACTGACCCTGTTGATGCGTAATCTGTAAATCTAGAATTATAAACGTTTAACGTGGTATGGATAGTGATCTGTTTTTTTCAGTGAGAACCTCATCAATGTTTCCGACAATCATGTGAACTGCGGTGTTCTCGTAAATTGTGCTCCAGCCTGTGTTGTATCCTCTCTAGAAAACTCGTTATTTCAGAATAACGAGCGGGGGATACTCCATAGGACATTTCTTTGCTAATTATAAAAACTACTTTATATTGAATCCTGCTTTTAATGTGTTTTTAAGATTTTAACGAATATCTAAAATAGAAAACACTCCATGCTAAATTCTCCTATTGCGTCGCATAGGGGTCTATTTTATGAAAGCCATGAAATAGCTATAACATTGATTCACTTTAGTAGGTACTTATTCCTTTGTATTCTTTTATTTCAAATTGACTTGACGATTACTGAGGTTTTTTGTGCAATGTCTTTACTCTGTTTGTTGTTTTCAATTGCGGATCTCAGGGATTTGTTGATTCAATCCAGAGTGTGCGTGAGTGGACTTTAAGTGCTTGGTTTTTATGTTTGAATGATGGTACGTACAGAGGTTAGCCGCTAAGTCTCTTTTAGTCAATCCTTTCCGATTTGCTGACATRTGAAAGGATAAGAAATTATAACAAAAATACCTTAGGTGGCATTATACAATTGAAGCAAGATTAATTGGTTTAGATGTATAGTTTTCAAATAGACAAAACAAATTGAAACAAAAATATGTGAAAAAGATAGAAATGCCTTTGACTTTTTTAWGCCGTTTTTATAGAAGGTAAACATTGTTAATGATTCAAAAATATTATATTTGTCCTCCCCATGCATAAATTGATATTTTCAAAATTGTTTATCTCTTATTGTTGTTATTTTTTTGGTAATTCCGGTAAAATAGCCCCGCTACTGAGATATGTATAAATATCAATATTTATCTAACCTACYCTACCTTGTTTGTAAGATAAATGACATCCAAAACAAGGTAATGGGAATGTGGTTTTGTTTGAAATCTTTCTTTACTATTTTGATAATAAAACGACTTCCTCTTTTTTTCCGACATCCTACGAAGAAACGCTCTGTACGTGGTACTACATCTATCTTAAAAAAATACTCCATACTGTGTAAATACTYAGGAAGTCTAGACTTAAAGGGAATTAAAGGGTCGCATAGCAGAGACTTTAAAGCAGACTTGCAGAATAATGGAAAACATTTTTATATGAGAAGCGGTGTCTTCTTCGTGACGCAGCCATTCAAAAAAATCTCAATACTTACATAGCAATTCATTGTTGAATAATTATGTAACCCGCCTAATCGATGACAGGAAACCCGCCGATTCTATATTTCAATGTACAGTTTTTCCAAAAAATAAAAAATAAATTGAAATTTCTAAAAAGCCAGTTTTTTCATACTTCTCTCATGGAATAGAACCGATGATCTTCCAAGACGTACTCATAATACTCTAAAAGGGTGAATCCTAAGTAGCAGACGAGACGTCTCGTGCGGTTTTCTTTACTGCCGCAATACACCCTGTAGTGTCTTATAATTTTGTSTAAGATAAAAACATATATGTAGTTGTCTCTAGCTTAGTTTTTTATTCATGAATCCTAGCTGGAATATAATTTTGTGTAAGGTTTTCTTGCTAATGACCGCCGGACAAGGAATATTTTGTTTTGAAATTATAGACTTGCCGATAATCGGCGGACAGACCGGAGCATTTCGGTTTTTAGCGATGTAGTTGAGTATTTTTGTGGCTACCGTCTCGCAGAAGCTTAAGTCACTATACTGTCCCTGACGTTTATTTTAAGTGCGTCTGGAAGTCCATTTCGTTTCGGCGTGCTTTTCTGTTTACGTTGTGGTATCCATGCCGTCAGTATTTGTCGGTCTTGATATTTAGTATGTTGATTGCGGTAGTAAAGTGAACCACTGCGTGAGGCACCTCCTGTGATGTCTGTACAGCCAACAAGCTGTGTTGAATTGTAACGAACCAAACATAGCAATGATACAATTGATTATAAAGAGATTATTACATGYGCGKGCGAAGATAATCCGATATTRATAGATATCTACKATACGGCCATATGTTTAAAGCAATTTAAAGTGCCCGCGAAAATTAGTATGTATCCTTGTGGTTTTGTCTGTTCTTGGGTTCCCTGTGTATTAAGTGAAAGAATGTGGCGAGTATGTTACTTTTTCAACCAAGTGCTATMMGCTTATTTAGTTTTGGGTTCCCTGTGTRACTCGGATGTCACTGGTTSTCAGTGCCCACAGCTAATACTGGTTATGTTCACCTAGAATATTAAAAGAGACTCCCGAAAAATGTCTACAAAATTTCTACAAATGACAGGCTACAAATAGTCGTTTGGGTCTATTATTTTAGTATTCCTTTGTTGTGTTAGTTATGTTTTAAATGTGTGCAATATACTCTAGTATTACGTTTCATGGTTCAAGTCTCGTTTAGAGGAGGCTGTCACGAGGTGTTCGTCCTAATCGATGTCTTTTCATAAATGATGTTAAGTACGGACGTGGCTTGATCAGAAGCCAATCGAAGATCTTTTTGATAAAATGGTTAATGAACAAAACCATGAAAGTTTCAGACGTTGGACATTCATTTATTTTGTCTTGAGTTTTTTTTTTTTTTTTTTTTTTTGTCTATTCTTTTCAAGGTTGTTCAATTAACATCCGCCATCTTGAATTATCCGCCATTTTGTTTTATCTTCGTATCCGCTGACAGTTGTGTTCACTGACGCGCATAATGGCTTGTGATTTAAGATAGTGGACATTTGTCAAGCAAACTCGAAAACAATGGACAAAAACCTTGTTTCCCCGCCTTCCCTTCAGGCAATCCTGTTTTTTTTTTAGATCATTTTCTGGACGTCATGTGGTTTGTGTGATCCTTCACAATTAAAGTTCTCTTGAATAATTTAATATTTCAAGTTTTTACTTTTTCCTTACGGTACTTTACTAATTCCGCCCACGAACTGTTTTTTGATATGTTTTCAAAAACAATAAAGAGGAGGAATATCTTTTTGACAACCATCATAATGTTTTCATGATTATACACTAAATTGACATGAATATTGTTTAAAAGTTTTTCAAATTATAARAAATACTTATTCCGCATACATGAACCTATTTTTTAACAATATGAAATGAAACTCTCTTCTTTTAARATTGATTTACTTCCCAGTACTTGATTTTAGTGCTTAAAGCGGTGGTTTGTGATCATAGAAGACGCTAATGTCTAATAACTTTAAGTGTGCAGCTGGTTTCTGTTAACAGTAAACTTTTCTCATTARAGCTAACTATAATAACATATTCGCGTCGTATTGTCGCTTCCTCTTTGCTAAATTTGTTTGTATCTAGTTCTATACATCATAACATGTCCCGCCCACATTCTTTCTGATGACTTTGTTGATCGCCTTCGAGTAACTTCTCGTTCTCTTGTGGTGAAATAGAATTCTATCACGGGAACTCTATCACGGCTGGGTTCTGTCTTTGATGAATTAATAACTTAAGTCAAATACAATGTATGTCAATATTAATCTAATCCCACTGTGAAGATGTAGGGGGAGATGAACTTTGCATTTTTCTTGGTCTATGGACCCCCAGTTTTGTCTTGATGTCATTTTTCTTAAGCGCATCGATTCGACTGGCCTTTGAATCTTCCTTTAGATGCATTAGTGAAATATGTTGTGTCGAAGTGATGTCTTCTGGTTCTTTCTCGACTTCGGTGCCACAAAAGAGCATGATTCGCGGGCAAATCGAATWAAAGACCTTCCGGAATGCCTTCCTGTACGAAGCATTAAATAAATAGTATATGAAGGGAGTTATGGCAGAGTTTGAGTGAGCGATAGCAAATGCCATGAAATATAGGTGTGGRTTTAGACCGCACGGAATKTTGTTAGTCTCTCCAAAGAATCCTAAGAACATTCTAACGTGAAACGTAAGCCAACAAAGCGCAAACGTTATCACCACWGTAACTAACATCTTGAGAACCTTTTTGTTAGTGGCGCGTTTACGGTATACGTACGTAGGTAGGAGRTCSGTTATTTCCTTTCCTCGACCCCATAGCTTCCAGATAATTACAGGATAAACAACTGCCATAACTGAGAGAGGAATAGCATAYAAGAACAAGAATAATATAACAGTGTAMGCCTTCCCTGCAAAGTCCTGGTCAAACGATTTCGGCCATTGCTCGTAGCAGTAATATTTATCTTTTTTCTTAATCTTTGTTATAAAGAGGACGGGAGAAAGCGTCAAAACAGAAAACACCCAGATTGCTACAATGATAATTTTCGCCCGGAAGAAGGTAATGACCTTCTTGAACGGRGTTGCAATAGCGAASAGGCGATCGAACGAGATGGCCATTAGACTGAAAATAGCACTCTCCATCGACGAACCATGGACAACTGGATTGAATTTACAAACGATAACGGCTGCTGCCATCGTATCAAACCAATTGAAKCCATTGATGTTMACCATTGTTACGATGGGCATGCTTACGGCCGTGATGAATAGGTCCGCWAGGGCCATGTTAGCGATAAAGTAATTTGTAGTCGACTTCATCGACGGGGATTTTGTAATGACGTATATAACAAGAGTATTACCAAGGAACGACAGAATCATGATAATAATGTTAGCACTGCCTTTTAGGCCTCTTGCCCATGTTGGCTCCTCGTAAACAGGACAAGTYCTTAAATATGGACTGCTCAAGTTGGACGTATTTGTTGAGGTTGTGTTCAACATACTTGACAAATAATGTTCTGTCTTAATTATATTTCTCACCCCTTTGTCAAAGGTCTATTTACTAGTTCTAGAGTACCTCAATCCCGGTATACAAGTRGCTGTATTGAATCCCAGCTTGGTTATGTTGAGCGGTGTCGTTCAAGAATCGCAATAGCAGCAGATGGTATACTCGCAAAGCTGCGTCTCCTTGTCGTTAGCTCTCAAATAACATATGCAAGTTTTGATTGAATCTGTTCGACGTTACGCTTAGCAGTTTAATATATTAGCACAGCAAGTGAACGACTGCTTTTCTATTCCTTCATATTCACAGCAGGGCGTKGTACATCTCTAACGAATCAATCGAGGCTAACTGTAGAAAGAATATATTACATACTTGTAATATTAGGTGCCGTCCAAGAAGGCTGTGTCTTAATTTTTGACCTTATTGAGCTGTTGCAATAAAGTGTATTAGTAAGAACAATAAACCATTGGATGGTAAGATCATCTGCTTTGAACTTTTAATCAAATGAAATTAACTCAGGTCGACAGGAGAACGCCAATCAATTTTGAGTGTAAAGTTTGAAGGCCGATAACTACTGCTATGTTATTTTAATCGATTTTTCAACTTATTTCCGACCTCCAACAGCTCTTGGTCCCGTGCGCCGGAATTGTATTGAAGYGCAACGTTGACCATCCTTTCATTAAAACTATAGGACTACGAGAAGTAACCAGCTAGAACATTTCTAATAGACACGCTTACATCACGGTAGACCTATCAAGAACCATCTAATAGGGTTCGAAAGCAGTCAGAACACTTCATCTTGTGTATAAGTTTGCTAATTTGCCATATACCGGGAACTCTTGCCCTCCTTGAAAAGGTCAAATATTATCGATTATAACTTATGTAATTTTGTCCGGATTTACGAAACTTTCTGCTCGGATTGAGGCTGGATTCTTGAGCTATACAAGTTGTGGCACGTTTAAAATCTAATATATTTATCGACAAAACTCCATGTATGCTCTTGACTCTTGTAATTTTTAGTTTTAATATTCATATTTGTCTTTTTGGTTTCTCAATATGTATACTTGCYTGCAAACCATTCAAAATGGCGGTGGTACCCCGCCCAGCTCACTTCCACTTACCTGCCCCTTAGTGGCTTAGTGGCTTTGATATTATCATCAGGATCATTTTTGATATTATCAATCATCATTGTCTTTGATGATGTTCTGATTTTGTTTTCCTTTWCATTTGAAACCCCCGTATAAAACTGGTTTTACACAAATTTGTGAAATTCAAATCGTCTTTAGATAGCTTGAACGCGGTCAGAAAGCCTTGAAACTAAGGGATTATTTTCTAATTAAATTAAATTTCCCTAGAATCTTTTTCAACGTAGAATATGAAAGATTTGCTATCCATATAGTTTTTTTGGTTATAGTCTTTTTGCACAAGGAATCTTTTTGTGTTAATCATCTTTTCTTGTAAAAGTGAATATAAATTACTGATGCCGAATGTTTTTAATCTTCATCAAGGTTTGAACTCGATCATTAGTTATAATGTAATGATAAGTTGAAATAAATACATGTTTGTTATCACGAACTATTGCTATAATATTATACTTATTGATAGTTTTAGCTCCGCTTTTGATCTTTTCGCTAATAAAAGCTTCTGACTTGACAAACCGCAATATTATGRTGTGGTAGAGTTTCCAGGATTTTAATAAAGTTTTGATGTTTTCAAGTAGTAATAAATTTCTGTGTGATCGACTTCTAATGTGGCAATCAAATTCAGTTCGGCTTCAGATTTTCCACTTTAAGTAGATCATATAATAATAATAATAAAAAACTTTTTCTGCATAATAGAATAAATTGAATAAATAACAATAAGTAAGATCAGAGTATATTTCTATTTAGATGATATAGTACTTTACTGTTGTTATCACTGTTGCTACGAAACAGKTAGCAAGTTGTGTTGTTTTWTCGTGAGTTTGGCCTTTAGTAAAAGTCATATTTTCTATAAACATTTTTGGGACAAGAGTTTTGTATGTCCTAAACCAACGAAAGCACTCAATYTGGAATAAAYCCGGATTTTTTGTGATAAAGTGCTGCTTTATTTAGTCAGWTTTGAAGTACAATGATGGKTGGAACACCTGCTCTTGTTAAAAAGTCYTAAAAAATAAAATTTAAAAACGAAAAAAAAGGAAAGTTCACCATAGGTTTCTATTAATGTGCTTAAAACTTCGTCTTTTAAAAAGATATTTAATCCAAGTCTTCCAAACCGCTGTATTAGCTAAGGTACAAAGACTGACAAACTTCAAAATACCATTATTTTTATTACCAATTTTGTTATTTGTTTTATTTCTTTTTTGTTTCGATACAATTAAGTATTTTGATTGAACAAGTCAATAGGGCTCTTAAGTAAGGCATGCGTAGATAAATACTTCATTATATTATATACAAATTATATTATATTTATRATACATAACAGATTATTCTTTCGAGATTTGATTGGTCCAAACCAGTTTTTTTTTCTCCGATAACAATTTTTCTGTTTCGCGTTRGTGGGTCTCCTCTGTTAWAGTMAACACAGGACTCCCAATCCCAAAGATCCAATTATCTTATGTTCTGTTTMGTATATCATCTTCAATTGAGTGAGCATACGACCTTAGTGCAACGTTATAACGCTCAGAAGACTTGTGGTTCATGTTTATTGATGATGTTGCCGAAAGACCTTCATTAGAAGGTTTCTTACAAACACACTTTAATAGAATATTCCTAACTCCTCGACGATAATCTTTACTAAAGAACACATATAACCAAGGCGTAATACTACTATTAGCAAACCTCATAAAGTTACTAAACGTCCATAGATTAAGCGGAGGGAAAATTGTATGGCTGTAGAAGAGAAACATAAAGTGATACGGTAACCAACAAACAGCAAAACAAATCACAACTGAGATTAACATCTTCAGCACGCTAATCTTTGTCTTGTTCTGAAGCTGCTGAGCRCTGGCTGTCTCTTGTCCTGGGATTTTTCTCTTCCAKACTTTCATCACCATGGCGCTGTAAAGGATRGCCATGATAAGAAGGGGCGTGGCGTACCACGTGACAAAGACCATAATAGTATACCCCTGCTCTAACTCCTCAAAAGTGCCAAAAATGCTCAGCTCGTTCCAGTCCTCTCGGCAATAGTAGGCGAAGTGGTTGCTGTGTAAGTCTCTACTGATTTTTACAATAAAGAAGAGAGGTAAAGGGATTATAAGCGATGCCAGCCATATTCCAAGCATTATCCACTTTGCTCGTCTTATGGTTATTAACCTCTTAAAGGGAAAAAAGGTGGCGCAAAACCTGTCAGTCGCTATAGCAACTAGAGTGAAAATTGAGGCAGAGCACGAGATGTCTTGTGTGTAAGCTAGGATCTTGCAAAATATCTTCCCACTAAGACCCCCTAAGGGTATCGTGTCAGTACCCAGGATTTGCTCTCTTGCCGAATATGGCATTCCAAATGCTGTGATTAACAAGTCTGCCACAGCGTTGTTGATGATGAAGTAATGAGTGACTGTTCGCATTCGTTTGTTGGTGTAAACCACGCCTAGAATGTCAATAAGAGCACATGTCAACATCAACAACAACAACTACAACTACAGCTACCATTGTACGCATTCGTTTGTTGGTGTAAACCACGCCTAGAATGTCAATTAGACCACATGTCAACATCAACAACTACAACTACAGCTACCATTGTTTGKATTCGTTCGTTTGTGTAAACCACGCCAAGAATATCAATAATAGCACATGTCAACACCAACAACAAAAACTTGAACAACTACAACAATAACAACAACAATAATTACATCTACCATTGTTCGCATTAGAACAGCACATGTCAACATCAACGACAACAACTTCGACAATAACAACAACAACAACTACTACACCACACCTTGAGTGTCAATATCATGGTAACTGAACGAGAGTGTACATGAAATCAACATAACTTCCTTCTTTACACCCAATAGTAGATGGACGAATGGTAATAACATCGATGGCATTAGCGATAACAGGTTACATAACCAACAATAATGGCAAAGGAATCATTGATAATCGTACAAACAATATTCCAATAGCAAATCCATATGCATGATGACAATGCTAGTTATGCAATATCATTACGACAAATCATCTCTGCTTACCAATTATCAAAATGTTCCCAACAACAGACGCACAAATAATAAAAACATAAAACGATGACATAATCCAGATTTCGACTTTACTGAAACTGTAGTTCCCAGGACTAGAAGACGTGTTTGTGCCTGATGAGTTCATCGTCGCTGGTTGAGTTGATCAAGATAATCTGAAATGAACAGAAAGCTTAGTCCACGTAATGGTGTGCCGTAGCGTTGTTTTGAACGCCAGCAAAGGGAGGACTTAATATCTAAATGGGACAAGGATAAAATAGTGTTTTAGATGCATGCAGTGACCATTTGTGGCTGACTTGCTGTCCATCACTTTCAGTGATGCACTACAAAATGAAAGTATTCATGCTAAAATTACATTTACAGCTTCACTGCTTTCTTTTCGACTTACATCGCATAATAAAGAAGAGCTTTAAGCATCAATTTTACTACAAGTGCCAAGTTATTTAAGGATGATTAATTCTGCATTCAGCACTGAGTTTCAAAATTGGTAGAGATTCGATTGCCACAAACCAAAGTCGTGGATATATCTGAGTGAATTGTCCTTACTACTTGATAGATCAATTAACAATAGTTGTTAAATGCATATGTCAACCTTAAACAAGAGAATTAATAAATGGAAAAGAAAATGAGGGATATGTGCTTACATGTAAACGTGTTCGTCGTTTGTCTTTACATCGTACACAACTGAACAACTATACAACACTACCTCTTTCAACAAATAAAGTCATAAATTGTTCCAATAAGGGTGAAAATTCATGTAAAATTCAGTGTTTTTTCTTTTCAATAAGAAAAAACTTCAATTAATTAACACGCCGTATACCAATTAAGGCAAATCCAATTATCCCTGCCAAGTAGTATCTAGGTTTTGTCTAATTTTTATTCTTTTTGAATGTGCCTGAATGCTTTGTTCTCGACCGTTGAGTCATAACAAGCAAAAGAGCTTAACTAGCAGATGTTTTGGACCATGATTTCATTCAAATTTCTATGAGTACAGTGAATTCACTCCCCCAAGAAACAGAGATCTTAATGAAAGCAACTATATAAAGTCAACAATGCTTGCAAACTGAATTATCTTGCTTATCCATCATTGTGCTCTTATTATCTTCTTTTCCTAAATCTTTTAAGATTAAAATCCTTTCTTCCTATTGAAGAATAGCATAACAATCTTTGTACAAAATTCTACCTTGTACAGTTATTAACGACCATTTTTACTTCAGCCAAAGATTAACTACCAAAACGTCTGCATGATTTCTTTATTGTAAAAAATCGTTTTGACTCGATTTGATTTTGATCGCAGTCAATTTTAGTTAAATATCGGCTGTATTTTCTTTATGTCAGTCGAATTCACTATAATGTCTGTCTGCTGAATTGCCAAAAACTGAATGACACTTCAATAATATCGAGAAACCCATTATGTTCACCACAGAGATGACGGGACAGCTGTAAAATCAACGTAAATCGTTAAGATTTTCCATACGATTCCCGTTTATTTCCAAGCTTTTTCGTCAGTTTATATTATCCGTAAAGGTTTTTGTTCCTTTTTAATGTTTTTTCTTACGATTTACAAGCACTACATACCAAGGTATATTATTATCGTAAAATAATCATTCATATAATATCGTCTTGTTCTGATTTGAACCATTAAAACTTATTGTCGTGTTTAAATAGCTGTACTTCACTGTGAGTCAATATATCTAAACTGCTATCTTAGACGTTTACAAAGCTGAATAGTCAAAGTTTGACTCTGGTTTCCGTTAAGTTATTAACAGTTGTATACTGTTTTTTGTTGGGCAATTTAAGATCTGGAGTGCTCTGTATTCAAGTAGCGGTATCTTTACTTTTAAAGTAGATATACAAGTGCAGTAGATTGCCTACGGCTACGGGAAAATTCTTATATAACAATACCTACAGGATATTAACGTCGATGTATATTGCTTTGGTATGATTATTGAAAAATTAACGAAAAGGTGCCGACTTCTCTCCTTGTTGATCATGTACCTGTAGCCAGTTATGTTTATGTAAAGTAAGTAAAAATCTGTTCGACAGTACTGGACTTCGTAATAAATAAATCTTACCTTGAATTGTACTCTTAGATCTGAAGAGACTTCGTCAACTCTCACGTTTTAATCTTTATATATTATGTGCCAAAGCTAACCTTCATGCATTGCGGTCTTGGCTCAATTATTTCATATGATACTCACTGCGCTGACTCAAGAGAGATTTTCAACACGATAAAATAACTTATTTTCCTCTTTGTTTTGTCTTGATTGTCATACATTCGTTTGCAATTTACTATTAGCTGAACGGCTAACCATCATTTCCGAAATTTCTATTTCGTAGTGCAAACATTTAATACCAACAAATATCGTCTGCTACAAATTGTTTAGTTCTATTCTACACAAAAGTGACTTCATTAGAATATTAAATCTCTATTTCTTTACATGTATAATGCTTTACTGTGGTCAAAAGACGAATCTTCTTATATCGAAAAAAAGCTCTCTTATTACTGGTAGATACTTACCAAGATTTCCCCTTGATTGATCTGTACTGAAAGTCACGCTCAGCCATCCAAGATATCAACCACTGTTGACGCTTGTCTTTTATTTTGTCTATACTTAGTCTCATGTAAACATAATATATTCTCTGTTTACGTTGTGATACAAGCCATGTATTACAATCTATCAGTCTGTGCCTGTTGTAGTTTAGGTTAAACAATATAAAGCGGTACCTCAGGGGTCAGAGTAAGAATTTCCCATTTCAATTAGCATACATCGCGAAATTGTCGACTTGAGAACGTAAGAAATTATGAAATCGTGACAAGTGTCCAGCACGTATAATAAGCTTTGAGCAGTTAGAGTCCATGTAAGCATCTTTGTTAAAAAAGAGCTCTTGTTCAACGCGCGTTCTGATTCTAGTCACGTGATTCATGGGAGCACGAAGCATGTACACTACATCATGTATCTCATCATAAACCTCAATTAGTACTCGCGCGTGTTTTTTGTAAATATAATATGATTATGTAAGCATATTTTGTACAGATATTATAAAATAACTCTTGAATAACGCGCGACTTGATTCAACACGCGTGAGAACCCCACACGCACCACGCACCACGCACCACGCACAGTTCGATTTGTTTACACATAAATAACTCATAAAGGGCTATGCCTTTTATTCCTCCTTTAGATGCGGTTCTAATTTAAAGAGTTCTATAATAAAAAACACCGGTCTTAGAGTTGCCAATTAGCAGCGTTAATTGAAATAGGTGTAAACAATTAATATCGTGCAGAGGAATTGACATATACTTAATAAAACATGGAAAATGATATTATTATTATAATTATGTATTCACTGGTAGCCGATGCACTTTTATCACCATCTCAGTTAAATTTTTTTTCTTTGTACTCCTCAGTGGTTCTAACCAATGTCATTATCTCGCAGGTCATTATACACAACCAAAAACTCTTCCAAGGGATACCCCCAGGTGAGCTCCTGTTGCATCACGTGATACGTTAGAAATCGAAAACAGACTATTCAAGTATTTTTTGCGAAAATGAAAGGAATTACTTATTGCTCAGACAGGACTTTAAGTATAATCTATTGTGCAGGCATCTTATCGCAATCTTCTTACAAAGAATTCTCAACAGCGAATGACTTTACTTTTGCAAACAAGCTTCGTCTTCCGTGTTTTTGGAGGCATCCGCCATCTTGATTCTTTTATCCATACCATGATGCACTTCGGCAAGCATGACGTAATAAGTGAAAAGAACAATGATTGTTGAAAACTGCAGCTACACTAATTGAAATACTCTGAAAATCTCGGAGGGCTAACACAAATGCCGTATACTCTATTGACCAGCTTACTTTATTTATCGTCCATAACAGACTACAAGAATTTCTCTCAGTCTATTTACAAAGACTATTTCTGAGCTATTTCTGACAATGTGGTTTTATATAAATATACTCGGAAAAATGGAGCATTTAATCACATACCCGGGAATACCGCAACGATTTATCGGATATAAAGCGTGTATACTAATATAGGAATATATGTCTAACGATTTTACTGTCACACCCAGGTATTTTGTAGCAATTTAGACCACTACACCGTAACGTAAGAATGAGGTTATAGCATATCAAAAGACCATATTTTTAATCTAGTAATCGATGTCGATCTAACCCAGATAACCCGACTAGTTCACCTATATTGCATTGTCTATTAAATCGTAATCGATTTTATCGCATGATATCGCATCATGTCGTATCGAAAGACATCGTATCACGACGGAACGCCTATTTGATATCGTAGAGCGGATTTCGTATCAGTGGGAAACGGACGGTACTGTACTGTAACCGTAATCGTACTGTAACCAAATTCTAGTGTCTCATTGGTTCACCAAAATTATGCAGGCCAGGTCCGGTAACTGTGCGGTAACCGTGCGGTAACCGTGCGGTAACGGTGTCCCACTCATACGAAATCTGCTCTATTTCATCGTATCGTATGATATTCGTATAAAGTTGTATGGTATCGTATGGTATCGTATTGTAATAGAATTGTGTAGTACTGCCTAATAACATGTCGTATGATATCGTATAAAGTGCATGGAATCGAATGATATCGAATATCTTCTAATATTGTATGATAAGGTAGTACTGTCAGAAGTACATAATAGTTATGTACTTCTGGTACTGTCTAATATCTAATCGTATCGTATGATATCGCGTATCGTCCACTATCGTATGGTGAGGTGTCGAACCATATCGTATCGGTTCATGTCATCACTGGGCAAATGACACCGTTCTTTTCTGTTTGGTTGGAGACAAGTGATCATTTTTCTTAAACCCGCCATTAGAATGCCCTTCGATTAMATCAGGTGTCTTGAATGTCGTCAATTGAACTCCTTGATTGTCTCTCTGATCGATAAATCCTGTTTCATTACCATAAATCTTAAACGCATTCAGTCTAACTCCATTMGTTTGAGTTGGTTCTGGCTCGGAATTACTGGAATATAACGCTGACCTTTTATGATGCATAAGACCTGCATTGCTTTTGATAAGCCCTTCACAGCATGGATTGATCTTTTGTGATATATATCGATTGACTCCCTTGTCGAACATAATAAAAATACACGGACTTAWTGCACTGTTTGCGTAAGCTAAGAACTTGGAGCTGAAGTACAGCTTCAATGGAGCWCCACAGTCCTTGTAGGGCGGGTAAAAGACYTCCAGGAAGAAGTATATATGGTATGGTAACCAGCAGAAAGCGAACGCAAGTACAATAGCAATTAGCATCTTAAGAACRCGTTTCTTTGCCTTTGAACGGTTCTTTCGACTCTGCGGTGTACGATGGTCGCCAGGGACTGATTGATGCCAAAGACGATACACCACMGCAGCGTAAAGAAAYCAGATCGTGATTAATGGCAGAGCGTAGAGAAGAGTAAATGTTATAAGAGTGTACGTCTTCACTGCWGTCATTTGATCTAGTGGSSTCCAGTCCTCCGCACACTCGTAAYCTTRATCGTAAAGGTAGATTTTATTCGCGTACAGTAAAGGTGAAGACATGATAAAAGCAGTYATCCAGCAACCTGCAATCACATATTTGACATTATTCAGCGTGATGTACTTTTTAAAAGGGACGTAAATTGCAAAATATCTTTCCATGGCGATTGCAATGAGGGARAATATTGAACAAAATGCAGAAACYTCCTGACTGATGACAAGAAGCTTACAGATGAAGCTGCCACCAAACCCTCCAAACGGCAAAGCAAGGGAGTTTGTTACTTCTTCRTTAATCATGTTTGGCATATTAATCAATCCAATCAGAAGATCCGAGCAGGCCATATTGGCCACCAAGCAGTTTGTTACAGTCTTGATTCGTTGTTTGTGGTTAACTATAAATATAATGAACGTATTGGCGAGTACAGACACGATGAGAACAACTATACAAGCACTTGTCTTCACCCATCGCTCTGTTAGTGTACCYACAACCAATGGAGGGCATGTCGCATAGTCATCTTCAAATCCATCTGTGGTCGCGTTGTCTGTCGTGTTATTCATKATTACAACCTGTCAATCAAATTAAAAGCATTAGTTTCCAGGAAAACCACGAGTTCTTGGTCAGGTTCTTTAACGGTTTGTTCGGTTAACGATATATAGTCATAAGATGAAATTATACTTCAATCATTTAAAATCAAAGCATTTTTCTGTCCAGATTTCGGTGAGCTCGCTGTGAGGTATTTTCACGATTTCTCTACTTCGTGGTATAGTAGATGAACTAGCCAATGAGAAGGTGACTTTTTATCGATCTATCTTTAGACACAGGAAGTTGTGCCGTTCACTCTCCTGAGTTTCAGTTTTACTAAAMCCCGATACTAGGATATTAGCATTTTAATTGCTCTTTATCTTACGTAGTCAACAACCATAGTTACTAACTATGTAAAAATCAATCTAACAGAAAATAAGCCATTTTGGACTCTAATTGATCATTGTATTTAGTCACGAAAATGCCGAACAATTTTAAAAGCGAAAATTTTGTAAAGATTTTAATTGCTAATTTCCATCTTGAACTTGGTGCATATGAATTTTGGCGTTTAAAAAAGGTAAAATTATCAGAATATATCAATAAAAACTGTTTGGCGAAAACGACGAGTTGAGTTTCTTGTGACTGTTTTGAACCTCTCATCTGATGCGCCTTTTCGTGTTTTTGAAAGATATGTTTATAGACAAACAAAAACAGCTTGGTGTTGGTATACCTTAATCTCAGTGAGATGTTTTTCGTTTATCACTGGGTTTAGAAAAAACCCAGTAGCAGTGTCCATTTTCTATGCATCAGATGTTCTAACTCATTATAGTTAAAACATCTTTGGAATAGAGAAATACGTTTGCAGCGTCGTGGGAGATAGCCAGTTTACAAAATTAAATCACCTGTCACGATTTATGTTATCTTTTAGAAAAAACTAAAAACCCTTCATTTTACTGATAGATTGTCGCTCAATGCTATTTTTACATAACTATGAAAAATTAATGTTTGCACTAAGCTACACACTATTCAGGATACTATATCAGGATTCCAGTTTCTTGACATAATAAATACATTACATGTAGGTACTGTACACTGATATACCTACAGCATTGTACTTTCAAAGATATCAGTAAAATAAAAAATACAGTCCTTTATTTTGACATGATAAATACATAACATGTAGGTATATCTCACTTATTGGACACTGATATATCTTCAGCATTGTACTTCCAAAGATATCAGTAAAATAAAAAGTAAGTTCTGTATCTTAACATGATAAATGCGGTAAAAATGAAACCTTGTACATTGATTAAAAAATCAATATTAAAGATAACACGTTATGTTTACCTCTGRGTAGAGCACTCCTCAGTTTTCAGTAGAAACTAAAGCATCGTGATTAATATAACCGTCGCATTTCAGATCAACAACACCTATAGGAGTTCTGATAACTAGTTAAACAGGCTAGCCCCCGTCAAGTCATCCACAATAYTGGTCACATGACCAGTTCACTTACAGTMGAAGCAGTATATTTTCGATAAGAAAAAATTATTTAAATMGTATGGTTRCCCGCTGTCTGCCCATTTGTGTAGTGACACAGTCATCCAAAATGTCCGCGCTTTAACTCAGCAAGCACGGAAATTGCTTTCTCAAACCAATTTATTGCAGTTTTGGTTATTTGATTATATGGAAACGATTCTCAGTGGGCAGCATTAGGTATTATCACGTGATAAGCCGTTCAAGTCTGACAATTAATTCCCGAAAATAAATGTCCGAAATTGATGAAAGTCCTTCATTTGTAGATTAATATTTCATAATTGAATTACAATTTTAATAAAGAGAGAATTGRAAAAATTAACTTTTATCATTTCATTTCGTCCAGTAGTTAAAATAGTGTCATTGCGCACAGCGATATTATGCCGAAACAAACACTTTTATGAATAATTTATGGAAAAATACTGGCAGGCTTAACAATGYAATCACAATCTTGGACATGTAAAGTTATAGTGTTTCTAGCTACTGTATTTCTCTATCTTTGATACTTACATGTGTAATACCTTTAAAAGTTGGTGCATTAARCTTTAGAGGGCTAGTTTTGACTTGATTCTCTCTTGATTCGGACCCCTAACACCTGCATCTAAGAAGACAAAGATGAAACTTAATGGAAACAAAACAAACTTGATGACGAAGTTGGTGTCGCTTCCAATTGGTCGAGTCGTAGCTAGCATAGTCATATGAGAACACATGATATTTTATCAAAGTAATTGCTACAAGGCATAACTTATCATATCTTGACACAATTTTAAGAGAGTAACATATACTATATATTATATTACCTACAGCCATTTTATACRCACAAACACACACTAACTCTATCMCTATTTAAGAAATATAAAACTGCGCGCGTGTCTCTGTCTCCTGATATAAACACGGTAGGAGTTGAAAAACACGATTGGAGCAAACTTAGAAACACGAGCYATAGCGAGTGCTTTTCGAGCGAAAAACAAATTTTTCCGGTAAGCCGTGTCTCTGTCCTCTGATATAAACACGGTCGTCAGCCAATCAAAGCGCGCGTTATATATCAAAACTTTTATAATGRAATATACAAGAATCCTTACACAGCAGCTATTGTTGTTTGTTTTCTTTTTGTTTCAATTTTGCAAAACACTTTGTCAGTTTCYCACAACGTCGCGATTTGCTTTTTTAGAATATAARGCTCACTTAAATCGCTCAAACAATGTTATGATATTAAAGATTKAATAAGAACATTAAAAAACGGCATTTTGCGGTTAATTATGCCATATTWAGGCGGGCGGTAAAGATAYAGAAAAMTCGAGAGAGTTTCACTGTCCTGTATCGAGAAGATCAATACAGTTAGAATACAATGTCATGTCGATTAAGTAAAAGTGAGCTTCTCACATTTATACGAGAAAATTGCTTGAATTTACTGTGTCATGAATGCTGCCAATTGATGTGTATTTTTAACTTTAGTCGGCTTCTGACTCATCGCTTTCGTTTTGTTTGTTCTCGTTACTGTAAAGATTCAAAGTTTAATTGCATATCATGCWAAAYCGACTTTTCAAATCAGTTTCTTAAGACTATCTAAATGACTAATTATCTAGATAAAAGGTCTTGCTCTAGGCCTATCAAGGTAAAATTGCTTCTCATAACTGGATAACTATTATTTAATGTAATTAAAGCTTCTGAATGCAAATTTCTCAAAACTGAGATTTATTTTGAATATCAAGTGCAACGCAAAACGATAAAATTTACATCACTAACGGTACAGTATCTATTTCCTTATACATAAGAAGCATAGGCTCATTTCGTACCATCGTTAGGACTTTCTGTGATACGTACAGGYTATTATGATTAATACCACTTTCTCTGTACCAGAAATACATGTACATTAGTGTCTCAATGTTGATTACTACCATTCAACATCCTTATTATCCTTAAGTGTGCTTCACTCCCCGTCTTTTCCTATCATACACCATAGGGATGCCTAGTTTTTTATAAGTTATAATGTAACAGTAGTTGAAACAGTGTCTTACCATAACTACCTCGTGCCTCAGTGTTGACTATTTTGACGTTCTCTTATCAGCTCTGCAGTCAAGTACTATAAGATGCAGCTACCCTTTCTGTATCAATGTACTTATTTTACTCTGTGAAGGTCTGAATTGCTTATTATACGTGGTACAAAGCACTATCAAGGCGTGAATAGCCTTAAGTAGCACAGAGTGAGTCCATCATGGTCATKTGTGTAAACTGATTTTTCTATTCATTGACTACTTTTCTTTGTAATGTCAACAAAAGCATTCAAGGACCTTCAAGTTTATTTGTTTTATTTTCAGTTTTCAATCATCTGTATTTCCTGAAATCTTTTAATATAATATACAAAATGTACCCTAAAATTCACAGGAATGAATACCTGCTCAATGAGATGGAGTTATTATTGATAAACGGTAATTTATGATYTTAAATAAGAGTAGGAAATTGAATCGTTTACAGTCACATACAAATAATCAAGAAAGAGGATYTATTGAAAGTGTGAAAACGGAAAAGCGGTACAGATAAGTTTGTATGCTTTTACTAAATCACTCTACATGACTATCAAGAACTCAAACAATACCGCCGTTATTATATTTCCCTAGTTCATGGGCTTGAATAAAAAATATATCAAATAAATTCAAAATAACACACTTATATATTACATGCAACATATCGAGCTTTTCAAAAAATGATACAAGGGGTAAAAAAAACTTGTAAGCATTATATTTTCGTTTCTTGTTTTGGAAAGGTGTCGTATTTTATATATTTTTTAGCCCTCTTTTCAGATGTTTTTTTTTATTATAGTGGACTGTTATTAACCAGACAGAAGTAGCTATTTGACTAATACACCTRACTAGTCCAGAACCAATTCCATTGTTTTCTTTTGTGTCTATTACACTGCTTACATTTTAAGTTTTTTTTCGCTTTTCTTTTTTTCAGTATTTGTTTCTAGAGTTTCATTTCCTCAATGATCCTAAATTAAAACTACAATAAGCAAATAAAGGTATTGGATGTAAGGGATGATGTAATACCGTCAAAGGTCCGACCGAAAGAGCTACAATACATGACCCGATTTGTCTTAAGAAACCTACTCAAATGTAATAGAGATAATTGTAARATCAAGCGATAATTGAATTGAAAAATCTCKAGCGGAGACTCKCTAAGACTAGCGGGTCTGTTGTTTAGCTGGGATGTTTGGCTATAGCCGATATTAGGAACCGATGCTCACTTCAAAGAGCACGCTTCTTTAAAATGCTTACCTTGATGCGCTCGTAAATTAATTTATTCATCAATTCAATAATCAACTCATTAATATTTTTTTACTGAGCAGTTTGACTATTCATCTAATACTGGCATTGATTATTAAATAAAATCTAGACGTGGAGTAACTGAAATAACTGAAGTCATTTTAGTTTGAGTTTTTCCCATTCTCATTTTTATGTTTTCATTTCTCATTTAAGATTCTACACTCTACTATTTTTTACGGGTTTCATTCAGTAAATAGAGCCTTTTTTCATTTTTTTCTTTCARTTTCCCACTTCTCATTTTCACTTCCTATGTCCCATTTCTCAAGTCCCATTCAATCTTTAATAAACTTAAGTTGAACACCAACGTGAAGTAATAAGTTCTTATCGAGTCTATCTGCAAACATTACTATCCGTTCATAACACAGATCTGACATGCTTAGACGGGCTAGAAATTTTATTGGCAATTTTGAATTTTCTTTCAAACTTCTTATACAGCAAGACAAATAAAGGATTATCTAACTATGAGAATGTCGTCCGGTTTGGTTTTATTATTTTCTYTTTTTGAACGATGTCCGACGGTTTAAATTAAATGAAGACATCAAATCTTTCAACATTTTCATTGTTTGTTAAAAATGTGTCTGAATATCCAGCATTTTTTGTGCTTCTTTCTCCTTCTTTTCCTTTTTGAGCTCATTTTGTTTCCCATTTTATCCCTTTTTTCTTCTATTCTATAAATCGAAACTACTGACGAGACAAGTGTGGGTTAGGTTGTTGTCTAGTTAGTTAAACGTTTCAGTTCTAAATCTACACTATGTTTTTGCATTTTTTCTACCTCTTTCTAAAATGAAGTGATTTTCATTTTGTTTATGAATGGTCATTGTCTACAAGGCGACATTAAAAAAGTGGCTAATTTTGCATCTYTTTTGATATTCATCGGATTACTGAGCTGAGAACAAGCAATAATACAATCTTCAAAATGTCATGGATAACGATAGAATAATGAAAGTGTATGTACCTGATAGGTATAAAAATGAGAAATTTCGGTCTTAACGAACATCACACGACTTTTAAGCGAAAAAATGGCCGATAGAAATTACGTAACTTTGGCTTTAAAATGGATTGTACGTCACGCTCTTTTTAATTGCTTGTAATACATACGGTTGTGGGAATTTTGGTTAGAACTCTACAATTCAAACTCACCAAGAACTTGTATCTGCCATCACTAGCATKAATGCAATGTCTTGTAGCAAAGTTAAAAGCGGTTTTTGAGCCGTGCTGCCCTGCTTCCAAAGCTAACAAGATGTTATATTAACAGACCATATCGCGCCAACACTTAATGAAATGTTTAGATAGTCGCCAACACGAAAATATATCATTGTCCCTTGCAATTATGTGTTAAATAAACTCTCTTCTGTAAAAGTATGACCATTGAAGGAGCCGCAGTTAGCATTGAGCATAGAAACTTTTAATAATTGTTGGCTTCTGTATAAAAGAAATGTAGGACTAATTATTTTCTACTCMTTCAATTTATTTTGTGTTTTATTTTGTGAGACGAACAACAAAAGAACGATTATATTGTCAAAGGCCAAATGTTTGTTTATTTACATAGAWATGATTTGAAATGGCAGCAGAAATATGAAACAAACTTCCAGGCTATTAAAAATACATTGTTTCCTTYTTTCAGACACCGATCTWCTTCGRGATTCATGGGATTTTCTTGCCTTTTTTATTCTTATCCCTATATTCAATGTTAATTGATTTTATTCACTTTGAACATTATGGTTTTCTTTATTATTACTTTCATAGACTTATTTCTTAACTGGTTTTTAATTGTTCACAATTAACGGTATTATCTCTTCATATCCTTTATTTCGTTTTTCCTAGTGCTTTGCTTCATTTTCCAATCAGTTTCCTTCCATTCGCTCCTAAATGGGATTTTGCATAATTCTAATTTCTTCAAGGGTATTGACAAACATGCAAAACGTATTCTGCGACGATAACTTTATGCATATTAGCCTCGTCGAAGATTTCTTTACTAAGTTTTCGTATCGTTTTGTATTGTTTTTTCATTCCTTGAGGGCGTACAACAAAAACGCCAAGAAACGCATCAGTGTTGCGAGGTCTAATGTGCGAAGTAGTAAAATTGCACCTTTCTTCCTGAAAACATTTGAATTACAGTTGGGTAAACAGAGTCTTTGAACATTTCAAGCAGTCAATCTTGAGAACAACTGTGCAAATCATGAGTGATATCAGAAAGTAWATGCAGTTTCTGACTTCCTTATCTACAACCTCTACCCTACCTTGCTGCTAGTCGATATCAGGTCCTAAATCCACTAAATGCAAAATTTTGCTGACTTTCTCTTCTACATACCCTACCTTGATCGTAGGCTGCCAGCTCTTTGACTGCAAGCAGCACAGGCAGTCAGCTTTAGTTACCAAAATTCTCTTAATTAGTTTCATTATAAGCCTACCAACGGCCCAACACCATTGGGTGCGTCCTGTACTCTTATTGGTCCTGATTAGCTACTCAAGCATTGCTCTAATTGTAAACTTGTTGTCAAGTATGCAAAACAACATTGAAAACAAGCAACATTTTTCGTTGATTTTGTGTAGATTCCATTGGCTTTCTATGCCAGCTCGGTCGCCAGGTGGATCAGGGATCAGAGTTTAATATTTTGGTATCAAGAATCAAGATGTTTTTTTAACTTAAAACTTGGGGACCTATGGGACTTGGGATCACATTGTCTGAGATCAGTTCATTTCTTTGGAATAAGTATTTCACACTAAACAGATTATAAGCTTTGTTGCCCTGATCACTGAGAGAAACCAACAAAAATTCACTTAACTAGCATTCTCGGAAATCACGTACACAATCTCAATTCAATAAAATCTCTATTTTACCTGATGTTTTTGCGATGTCATGATAACAAGATAAAGAGCTTTTGGACTTCAGCATGCAGTATTCTCGATTGAACAGTTCATTAGCAGAAAATCAGTTTTATTTATTTATTCAGTTATGATTTTTGAGGGCATGATAAATGTACGGATTATCTTTGTTTTTTTGTTGTTGTTGTTGTTGTTGTTGTTGTTTTGTTTTTTTTTTATTCGCTGGATAAGGATTCATCCAGTGAATAGCACTATTTATTCTTCTTATAACCGACCACAGGTTTATTGTCTGCTACTTAATAATATACGAAAAGATTATTGTCAATTTCTACCCCTTTATTTATCTCAGGATTACTTCTTCGTACGTACGTTACTTTACGTGACTGTACGTGTGTTCCGTGTTCCGTAGTTATCTTTCAACTAAGAATGTACTAAAGCATACAAATTTTATCGTAAATTGTGTTAGATATCAGTTAACGTTGTAATAGTGTAAATGGTCGATTGCTACGTATCAGTGTACTATACTGAGATCACACTTTGACAGGTTAATTGATAGATCACCTTGTTCTATAAACATTAAAGCTTAGGGGGCGTTAAATCTACAGTCCAACATATATGCTTTATTTTATTGAATATTTTATTGAATATTAACCAAACTATTCAATTGATGTAGAATACAAAGATGCAAATGTGGACGGCGAGCAAATGTTAAATTATAGATCACATTCCCTGTGGATAACTCCTGATATCGATCTAATCGAGTTAAATTTGTACTATATACACACATCACAACACAAAATGGTTCCATAGCAATCAATCTGATAACTTACTGGATATAATATACTGTCAGACTTCCCCTTGCGACAATCAGTATTCCAGGAACTCAATCCAGGAAGTTCGCCATAAACGAGTAAGAACATTCAAATYAATGTACGTTTCGTATTCCTTGATAACCAATTCATTCGTCTTGTGTCTTGACCTGTCGTGTGGMGCGCAGCAGGACGTACGGCACTAAGTCAACATTCGTATATTATCCCGCCCGCAGCTTCTRTCCTTTTGGGCTTCCTGTGTGTGTTTTATCACCTGTCTTTTAAACTATTGGCTCCAGTTTTGCTCTTCTTATTTACCATAGGAAATCCAATGGACAACAAATCGAGTCTCCTTCATCCCAATTCCTTMATTGATTCACTGACTGACCGGCTCACCGACAAACATAAGCGAATGAATTTTAAAATAAATTTTGATTATTAAATTAAAACAAAAAAACCTTTTAATTAAAAGAAAAAGCACTCATATTTATTATATCGGCTTGTGTGTCAGTTCTAGATAATAATTAGATTCAGTGGATAGCACTTAAAGTTTTAATAAGACCAGCAAAACACAATTTCCTGTGAAGGATCTCTAGTACATATATAGTGTTAAAAACGTTTTAGCGTSGAATTGTTGCACGGAAAAAAATATTTCACACTCAATCAGTCAGAAGAGAGTGTGACCAAATAGATGATTCTTGCTTTAATCACAACGTCAAAATATGAACTTCAGAAGTACGAGCGATTAAGGGAAAAAACCGCTTTAGATTTAACAAGTAGGAGCTATAAGCCAATACAGCGTTGTTTAGTGCAGGGAATGCATATAATTGTAATTTATGAATGAAATTTTCAAAATATTTTGACGAAAAACAAACATACTGCATAATCCACATGAGAATGAACATGAGATTGAAATATGAAATATCATGTTTTTGTTTTCTTTGTTTGTTTTGTTTTATTTTGCTTTTTCTTTTTCGTTAGGATTTTCTGAGCAGGTTGTGTTTCAAAGCAKAGTCTTTGAGTTAACGATTTGGGAACGAGAATGGTTTTAAGCACTTAGAATAAATTACAGGGCATGTATATGAATATATACTTTCATTTAGACTACTAATCAAAGAAAAAATGAATATACACTTAAACAAACGAATAAATAAAGAAATATAAAAAGAGTTTAAATGAATATCTCTAAATAAATAAATGAAAAAGAGCATTAAATTGAAATGGCTTAGAAATGGATCAATAATAACAAGAAAAATAGATGAGGGATTATATTTCACTTCATTTGTGAAGTTAACATGAAAATCATTTCTAACATAAAAGAGATGAATGCACTCGTTATACAAACAAYTTTATTCTTAGCGAACTCAAACATCTTTATGAGCTAATTTAAAAAAAAAATCACCTTTTACCACCAAAAAATTGACAGTTCCTTTGGTTGCTAAGTGATTATGTGTTATCCATTGACTGGGCATATAGCCCAGTGTATATCACATGTTACTGTTTTAACAAATGCTAACAGAAAACAAGGACAAAGCTTCTTTTTACTGCTTATAGCTCTTTGAATTCTGTTGTACTGAATTTTATTTTCAGCTCGGTTCTWACAGAAAACGAAATAATCTTAACTGTTTTAGCTAATTGGGACGYAAGAGGTTGGAAAGTGTTAAGTGATTCAATTATAAATTAATGATCGTATGGAGCAACCTGCAGTGATAAATAGCTGCTTTACAAACAACGACGAATGCTGGTTACTCATCCAAAAACATTTCGATTTATTTGCGCAAATATCGACGTAACTTTGCTGTATTTAAAGTGTGTGGAGACTCCGTGGAGGACGTCAAATCAGTACTAATACGTAAGCTGATAAAGAAGGCGGAAATCTCATCTTGACGGTCGAGGAGATTCGACGTTCTTCGTAAACTGGAAGAGAGATCATAGGGTTTTACAAAATTACTCAATATAGCGACTTAGCTGTTTTGAAGAGCGATCTTTACMTGCTATTAAATCTGGCTTGGTGCTTCCCACACAGAAAAGACATTAATCACATCAAAAGCATATTTGAAAAGTTAATTTACCAAGGTTCTAAAAGTGCCGAAAAAGCCGGTTGCTTCTACTTGGCAAAAACTATTGAATAGATGCGAAGAATGGCGTAATTTATATGTAAAGAAACAATTGGATAGCAGATTTCTACCGATAACAAGAACATTAACGAGTCGACTTGTAAACACTGAGTCGGTCTTTTCTTTTCTAGCAGTATCGTATTGAATTGATGTAAAAACAAAATCYGTTGCCTATCTTATGCAAAGAAAGACTTGTAAAAGATTAATGAATACATTATTAGATGTCGAAACGGATATTGGAAGGACTACATGGAAATCTCTTCTAGAAGAAGGTGATACAAGGAAAAGATAAGACTAAAACTCGAAAAAATAACATCAATTCAAAATTCAGCAATTCAAGCACTTGTAGGATACAGTACACCAAGTGACACGGTCGACTACAAGAACTAAATCATTCTAATTGTCAGTTCCTGAGAGTCTTCGTCCAAAACTAAAAAAAGTCATTAAAGGTTTATCTTGATGAAGTAAGCCTTCAGTTGAAACAGCAAGAAAAACAATGACGCAAATGAGTGTTTTTTTGTGTTATGGTTGAAAGTGAAAGACTTTACTAACGGTTTTCTTTCGAAACTAAAGATCATATTTACAAACCAAACTGCTGCAGTAAAAACTCAACTACCAATAATTGTAGTTGCCAACACATCTGTATTTACAGTAGATTATCAACTCCACTGAAGGGAACGAAGAAACTGCTACTTTAATATTTCATTWAAAAAAAACGAGAAAGAAAGAAGCTTTACTAAAAGTGATACAATGAATAACACAACTGTATTTTGTGACGGCGTCAATGTACAAGAAACATTGGGTTATGTTATCATATTTACGACATCGATACTTGGAAATACAATGGTYATAATGGTTGTTAAGCGAAATATGGGAGGCAAACTACGCTCTGTGAGTTACTWCTTCATATTTAGTCTTGCTGTGGCTGACTTGGTAATGACGATTGGTAATGTCCCTGAGCGAATAACAAGATCAATAACCTGTGATACCTGGATCATACCAGGTACACTAGGGATAGCGATTTGTAAAATTGTAAACTTTGTAGAGAAAATGGCGATGATTGTCTCTGTGTCAAGTCTTGCCMCTGTTGCTGTGGATCGATTTCTAAATGTTTTCTTMCCTCATCGYATTATCATCACGYCGCGTCGGTGTTTTGTAGTGATMGGAGTGATTTGGTTCTTTTCTGCCTTCTACTGCCTACCTATTTTAGTATATGGTAATCTACTACARAAAAATGGACAACTTTTATGCAAGACGAGGGTTTTCTTCCCTCGCTGGACGCTGTGGTTTTTACCATTTCTGGTTATACTATTTGTGTCTTTGTTCTTTGTTTTTGTTCTTTATTTTGCTATTTGTGTGAAACTATGTATTCGTAAAGTTCCTGGTACGCGAGACAGTATCTCTGGCAACCAATCCTCATCTGTAGTTCAAGGAGTTATCAACCGTAAAGTGGCAAAGATGGTTGCAGCGATAGTGATWGCKTTTTACGTGTGCTTCTTGCCGTACTGGCTGAGCTGGATCTTCTGCAGCTATCATTTTACACCGCTTATTTGCAACCCGACTTACTCTTCCATATCTGTTTTCCTTTCCTATGCAAATATATCCCTTAATCCAATAATCTATGTCACTTTTAGTGAAAACTTTCGCGAAGGATTTAAYTCACTTTTCCGTAGATTTTGCGTAAGGCGGAAAAGYGCMCGCYTTCATCCGACGCGACCTCGCGTTAATCAYTTTTTGGCGGGAATTGGCGTGCGTACGGCTGCATTGTACGAACCAAGCGTGCTGGAAGTAAATATGGAGCCATACAGGGTAAAATGTAATAAGAATCGAGCAAATACACAGTGAGATYTTGATTGCAATGCAGATGAAACTCCAGGYAAAATGTACCATCGGAAGAGCAGGAAAATTGATAAATACAACACAAACTTAATCTCAAGAAGGTGGCACTCCAAAGTGTATTAACACTACTAAACTTTATGTAGATAATGGAGACGAACGAGTCCTTTTTAATTATAATGTTAATTATAATTGTAGATTGTCAGTGACACTCTTATGTGAATCAATTGTCTTCAGCAGTAGTAGTCAGTATAGACTATAAACTTTTTCTTGCGCAACTCATTAGTGGTTAACCGATTATAAGTTCAAATGAACACTCTTAGCTAATGAGACTTGCTGTCATCAACTGTAATCCTCTTATAAGATGCTCTAAGAATAATTCAGTAATCTGTAACATAGAATTAGACTTATCTTTTCGTTTTACTTTTTATTCATTTGAGGGATTTCCTCACACCTAGAATGTCGAAAAATAAAATGACGTCTTTTTCAGTTGATTTTGACGAGTWAAGACATCATTTTCTGCTTTTATGGCAGATAYGAAAATGGGAAGAAAYCGGMGAGAACACGATTAMTTTGTRGTTACTCCATTTATTCATTTATTCTCTCATTCGTTCATCCACATTTATTCTTGCATTATTTATCCATTCATCCTTCCATCCATTCATTATCAATCAATTCTAGTCGCTCATTTCCTGGGCCGTTGTGCGTATGTAAGCATTCTCTAATAATTTCCAGTAATTTCAACCCAGACTGTCTAACAACYAGTTTTCGTGAGCTATATTTGACTGTATTTATTTAGCTGGATTTCTATTTCTTTCATGTATCATTTTATAAACATTAATATCAATAGAAACGATCAAACAAGTCGAGCCACTGTTTATTCACCGATTCCATTTATTTACTCMTATTTAATTAGTTTTCTTTCTCTTTTTGTCGTCGTTGTGCATTTTGTTTTATTTAAAGTTTCACTATTTTTATTCAGCAATTGTAGATATCAGTATAACTATAARATTTTTCGCTGCTTCTGTGAGTTTTCTCTGTTATTTGCTTTTCTCCGAGTGCGTTTTTTTCCCAGCAAATCGAAAAAAAAAAAAAATACTCGACTTGGTCGATGAACATCTTTTTTATTCCTCCTTTTGTGCGTTAAAATTTATTTTCAGTATTTATTTCATTMATTAATATTTCCATCCCTGGACTGCAAAGCTTATCATGATCTTTACGTATCTATTTCACACCGCAATAAAAGACAATAAGATTAACATGCTGACTTCGTACATCCAAACTTCAAGTCAATCGTCGAATGGATTTACTTAAGGTCAGTTGAATTTGTCGCTCACTTGTCTTTCGACGTGGTGGCATACAGTTCCGTAAACGTAAAACACATAAGTYCCCACTTTCCCTACATTAACTCACTTGCCTCTAGCCTTCGTTACAAGGKCGTCGTATTCAGCTTGTGTCAGACGTCTGGAAAATGCCCTCTGTTTTGTTATGACGCCGAGTTGAGTCTTATAGTAAATGGCAGTAAAGGCGGTGAAAACTGGAAATTTTTTTATTCAAATTTGTTGTTATCTACATTGTAGTAACCTTATCACAATGGGTTTTAGAGAGGTTTATGTTAGAATATAATGCATTCATAAACCCATGAATTCTCAGCACAAATGACTCATGATCAGTCTTTTATTTAGTGTCGATGCGCTCTGAAAATTCGTGAAATAGTTATTACCTTAGCATGCTTTTATCTTACTGTAACTATACCATTCTTCAGTATTTTTCACGTTTGTGTGTGTGTCTTTTCTGTATCTCACTTTGGTTCACGGATTTATCGTGGAAAATATGCAGTAGGTTTCAGCTTAGTTGTTCTCGAAGTCATATAGCATTTTATTTCAGTAGGTCTTCAATCCATTACGCCCTGGGTATTTCGGATTATATTTGGTTTTATTGGCTTAATGCCTGCAATCTAATAGAGTTGAGGTGTCTATCTAATGGCGGTTGACAGGATTAAGGGTTACGATAAGAACAAAATTGCTTCCATTAGCCATTTATTGTTAAACAAATTTCAGCCGCGAGGGAACTGCTAAAACGTTATCAGTGACTTTTCTTGTATTCTATTTTCATTTTTTTCGCCTGGAGTGATTTTCAAAAACCGGGAAACAAGTGTAATAACCAAAGCATTGTGTAATACATCGAGGAAAAGGGAAGCATGAGAAATAACGATTAATGAAGTAAATTGTAATAATATTTTATGAATGCAATTCTATTTTTCTTGTGTAATATAATTATTAGGTAGCGTTCTACTTTTTTTTTTATTTTTCTTCATTTTGTTTCAACACATGAACATTATACTTCCCGTATAAACTTTGTTTCACGGAATTATGGAAACTGCCCTAATGTGTGTACAATTGGATTGAAATTCGTTTCACGGGTTTTTGAGAACCGCTGTAATAATCGGGTTTTCCATTGATAATTATTTTCCTTGTAACGGTTCTTTCTGATGATTATCATTATAATTATTTAACACTTTACTAATAATACAACACATTCAACATATGTGGTTACCACACTATAGACATCGCACAAATCCTCACAAACTGTTGTTAAGCTATCACGCTATCTTTCCACCGTTAAGAGATGAAAAATTCTAATTAAGGATCGCTTTAATCAAACAAAACGGAAGCATTAGAACATACTGTTTACAGTSCCTGRCTTGTATTGCAGTAGGTGGACACAAAWCAACGGAACATTCAAGGATTTCATTTCTTTACTGCCTAAACAGGACATTTCCAATCACTTTGTATTGAATTTCTCAGCCTATATCTTCCGRTTTAACTTTTTTTTAATAAACACTTTGTGAAAAAGGCTTTGACGGTGAGCGATTGAATCGATAAAAATTTCGATTGTAATTTTTAGCAAACAGTGATGATGTATTTGATAAAAGTCGCTCATGTTTTGTCCTGTCTTCGTTATTACAGTCACCGTAAGAACTGTTCTTCCCGCAGTTTAAAAAGGAAGTACTTTTTTCAAAACATTGCCCTTGCATTTCTTTTCGCTGATTAATGACTCAATGTCCATAAACTCCTGAAATAAAGTCTGCAATGTTGTGGCTGCATTTTGCTACAATGGCGCCTTAAAGTTTTTGTTTCCCTTTTTGTTTTCATAAACCTGTGAAATATACTTTAGCCGCATTGCATTTTATTAATCTTAATTGTGCATGTTTTTCCAGTGCATTACACTGTAGTTATTACGCCTTCTTTACACTTTTTATTTTACTGGTTTTTACATGTAAAATCGCCCTAATTTCTGTATATAATCATAGCCATATGATATTGATCCGGTTTGAGTAGATATATTCAGTTGTCTGAGCGGGCYCGTTCTTGTATTGCCCGAGGTATACTCCGCCTTTTYATTGCTTTTAATGAATGCATAAATACAGCCCTTAAAAACACACTATTTATCATTTCGGGTATTCACAGGTTGACTTCTCCACGCCAAGAGTCTCTTCATARCTTTTRACGACGCCCTAAGCTGTTGCCAATACTGACAATTACAAGTCTCGCCCGACAGACGAAATGATTCTAGTTCTTCAAAAGCTGTTACTACAATTTCAATGATATTTAAGTTTTATATCTCGCAAACAAAGAGTAAACAAATTCGTTATTAAGAAGGCAAGGAGGAAGCTRAACAGCTGCTAGTAAAGTCATTGAGTAAGTTCCCCACTATGAACACTTCCATTTTTACATTAATTTCGTCAATTTAGACGATTTTTATTGTATTGTGTGCAGCCAGTACTTATACTGTCAAACCAAAGAGCTGAAGAGTACAGAAAAGACACATTAGGGTGGGAACCTGACGTCACATCGTGTGGAGATTCTAATTGGTGARAGTTACTATACAAAAACAGCTTGAACTTATGTAAAGTAGAGGGGGATTTCTCGATATTGTTAAAAGCTAAAATTCAATTACTAATTCAGTCTCTGGAACACGCAATACCAAAAAGCAAGATTTCCAAAATCWACAGAACGTTTTAAGAAGAAAAAACATTAAGTTGGTTTAGAATCCTGAAAATGAGCGAGAATCTTAGCAGCTGGGACAACTCGTCGTCTACACAAGTCGAAGCACAAGAACCAAGATACATAATTGGTCTAAAAACCCTGGCATATGTTGGAGTATTCCTTGCTTCATTAGCAGGAAACAGTTTAGTAATACTCGCTTATAAGTATAACTTTAATCGCAAGATTCGTACGGTTAGTAATACTTTTATTGTATCAATGGCGGTTGCTGACTTATGTATCACCATTGGCAGCATACCCGAACGTATTACAAGAGTATTAGCCAATGATCAATGGCTTGTACCGGGTATTCTCGGTATTATTGCATGCAAACTAGTCAACTTTATTGAAAAGCTGTCCTTGAATGTATCTGTGCTACACCTTGCAAGCATCGCTATTGATCGATTCTTGGTTGTTTTTTTCCCGCGACGTAAAATCATCACCCGTTTGATATCAAAACGTYTAGTGGCGTCCATCTGGCTGTTATCTGTAGGATACTGCATCCCTATACTGATATACGGACAYATTGCCAACAACAAATACTGTAAAGTCAGGGTATTTTTCCATAACTGGCGAGTGTGGTATATAGTWTTCTTAATCATTTTATTTGGTACTTTTATTCTTATTGTCATCCTGTATACAGCAATTGCTGTCAAATTATGGCGCAAAAAAACACCTGGTGTTCGCCTTTCCTTTAGAAGCCGACGAACTGAGAAACTAAACTTAAGAATTATGAAAATGGTAGCTATTATTGTAGCTGTTTTCTACATATGCTTCCTGCCCTATTGGATTGGTTGGATTTTCTGCTCTTATCACTTCAGTGAAATCATRTGCAGTCAAAACTTTGTATATGTAGCGATATTTTTGTCATATTTAAACAGTGCTTTGAATCCTATTATCTATACCATCTTTAACGAGAACTTTAGATTAGCATTCAGGATGCTTGCTCAGAAGATTTGCTGTGTTAGTGTAGCTGGTAGTACCTCYAGAAGTCAAGATAAAGAAGTTTTTATGATAGGTCCTAAATTAGATTCCAACTTAGCGACCGATATKCAAGTAAGGTTTGTCAAACCAACAAGATCCCTAGACTTTCTAGGAACAAAAATATAATGACTCCATTAAATATTACTACTAGAACACGAAATATAACAATAAAATATACTATAATTCATTGTCAAATTTGTTTATGTGTTTTTTCAATATATATTTTCCGGTGTTCAATTTAGAAGATCATTCCTGCTGTTGCTTGTCCTTTTTCATTGTAATATTTGCATTTCAGGTGCTGAGTGTTCCGAYTTAGTTATTCTGTATTTACAAACAAAAAACATAAAAACAAAACAGRATCAAGTACTCTTGTCATTTCGAGTTACTTTTAACCTTTTTATATTTTTTATTAATGTGTTTAAGACAACTGGTTTTAATCCGTATATTAAGTTATTTTGCGATACAGCTTTAAGACAACATGCAGTAACTCACGTCTTTGTATTTAAGTGTCTTTGTCGACTTATTCACTGTCGCTTTTGAGCCACTTTTAATGGAATTCAATAACTAGTTTTTATTTTTTAAAGCACTATATTGTTTTATAAAGACGATTAGTGATGAACCATTTCTTTGAGTTTTGACAGCAGTCAACGCACTTAAACACAACAAAAATTGAAGTTTATGATAAGAAAAAGACTCTGGAAAAGCATCTGCCTTCTGTAGTACATTTTAAATTGGCATGAGCACTAAAAAAGATTAATATAATTTCCRTATTGGTTGTGCTGCCAACATATGAAATAGACATGGCATTGACGTACAATAATCATTATACATCTTTGTGCCGCCTGTGGTTTTCTGCCTCAGGCTGGAAAATAACGAGATGAAGCTGTTCGGTGTGAAAAACATTAATATTTTTTTTACGATATGCTGAAGATACCTTAATCCGCTAACCAAATTATAATAGTCAATGTATAATAGCAGGCTCGTAGGCTGCCTTACAAATGGGGGGGTTCGTTTTTTTCATAATGCAGACCTAAATTAAATGTTTAACAATATTAGTCCAATGCAAAGGTATAGAGTTAATAACTGGCTGCTAAAATGAGCAATTTACTACAAAATCATACTATCTCACAAACAGTTCATAACAAAAGAATTTTAAAAGAGAACAATTAAAAAAGAGAAACACCGGACCTTTTAAGCTTGTGGGGGAAGGCATCTTGTTCACGAGTTTACTGATTTAAATGCAAACACATYTTTTTGCTCGCCAAATATACCCAACGAATTTATTCAGGCGCGTGGGGGGAGGGGGGGTACAAATGGTAAGGTATAAAAAGGCTTGATATTTTACACATGGTTATTACTGAGCATCCCCAATAAAAACCCGTAGATACCGACATGTTTATTTGCAAACTCAATTCATTCTATAAGCACAACTGTGTTTTTGAATAGTTATGAATATTCAAACCATTTGAGGGGATTGTCGAAAGGATTTTGYCAAATACTTTTAATGAAGTATGATTGTCATATTTTTTCGAATTTTACGTTTCATCACAACTTGCCAATTTTAAAATCCCGGGTCCCAAATCTCCGGGAATATCCGGTATTTATCATCATTCTACATATACCGTATTCTGGTCATGCAGAAGTAGGAATAACAGCTGTTTTATCATCTAATACCCCCAGGAAATTGAACGGCTTTTTTAGAATTAAAATTGATTCTCCTACTTTTCCTGATTCTGCCCCTGAGGGGTAGGGTAGGGTAACGGGGCGTGGTTTCTATTGATGGGTATATTAGTTTTGATCAACCATAGTTACATGTAGAAATTAAAAAGCAAAACATAGTGCCGTCATGACCGCTAAAAAGCTGTGAAATCATTAGTGTACAATATTACGTGTAATCATAGAATAATAAATCATTTAATTGGCAAATCGAAAAAAGTTTCAATTAGTACCTGTAGGTGATTAGAATTAAATTGAGCAGCGAATATTGTAGGAAATGATTTGTCAATAGCTCGTCTGGGAGGTCAAAAGTACCATCCATTTAAGATTACTGTTGGCTACCGGAACATTAATTATACATTTTGAAGGCATAAACTATCCATGATAAAAGCACTAGTTGTCATCATTTAAAGCTAATTTACTGACGTATTCTACACAGATATGTATTAATATGTAGATTCAGGAAAGAAGAAAGAACATAAACAAAACTAGAGCGTTTTTTTTTTTAATTTAATCGTCAATTCCTTTTTCTCGTTAATTTACATAATTCGTTAACACTTTGAAGAGTCATAATCTTTCAATTGTGGATTATAATTGGACTTTGCGAAACACTTTGYTGCATTGCTGTCACACGCACATAACGCTAACCTACATGGTATAAAGGGATCATTTACAGGATAGGCTGATGCAGGTTCTGTAGTCAAAAGAGAACCTTATTAGTGTATATGAACATAATTGATAACAAAACGAGAAGGGGCCTGGTACTGATTTTTTTTATTTATACAATCTACAGAAATCTGATACAGATATCTACAGATAAAGCACCTATAAGTTAGCTAAAGTTTAAAGTTTGAGCAAGTTTAAGTCATTAGAAATGGAAATAGAATTTTTCAAAAGTGCCTAAGTTGACATGCTTACCGCAAGTTGTGCACTTTGAGTGTTGATAAGTTCTGAAGTAAACCTGCCAGGAATAACCACATATACCACTAGCAATGATGTCATCGTAGCATTTATCATGCACGTAGCAGCACCTAGAGATACGTGACGTCATTAATGGTTGACGTCACAAGTGACGATATTGTTACCATAACAACTTACATGTCAAGTTGATCGCGTGGTTTTCCCTGTCCACCRAGGCCGCACCAACAGCCGTAGTCGAGGTAGTCAAGGTTACTACGATTGGTTGCGCAGCTGATCATTGCGCCAAACTCGATAAGACTTCGACCTGATTGTTGRATGGGATACCTGTGTTTTAGTGAACGAGTGAAACAAGTACCAAACCATAGAAACCACATTCATCTGAAAATTCCTCTTTTTTAAGAAATTATTGAATTCGTAAATACAAACATGCAGAATYYTCYAATTGCAAACATACTTATTGCGCATGTTCATAGTTGTTTTCGTTTTTATCCCACACGGCTTGGTGCCTGTTCTTTATACTTACGTAATCTTGTGAGACTGTTGCCACTTTGAAGGTTGGGTGATACCTTATAAAAACCAACCCAAAAAAGACGATATTACTGACCAATTCTAATAAACTATACTACTACATAATACAGTTGTGTATTAAATGTATTACCGTGTTAAATTTATCTTTTTACACAACTGTTTCTTTAGAAACACCGACGCAGCTCACTACCGCTAGTTCCCACCATTTTTAGTACCATTAATGACCTCAGTGTATAAAAGGCCTACCGCTACACTATTCTTATGATATATTAATAATTGCGACTCGATTTGTAAGACAAGAAACTAGGATGACAAATGAGGTGCATTATGGCTTTTTCTAGTTCTAAAGGAAAAGATTATAACCAGTCAAAAACGAGAAGGCGAATGCTCTAACAGTTAACGACCAAAACACTTAGTAGRTTTACTTGTAGGCCGTTYTTATATGTTTATAACCTTTTGCACTATCCCCCCTCCCCCCTAAAAATCCTCCCTTAAAAACACTTCTTTTGATGAACTGTTTTCAATCAAGCTCATCTTCGACCGTCCCATGCAACCTTACAATCAACAGTATCTCCTATATACACTTTTCTCACTTAGTTTTTAAGATAAATACTAAAAAGATACTTAAAACCCACTGTTTTATCCCTGGACGGCACTGAATCCACTGTAGCAAGCAAAGCGCAAGTCAAAATCATAGCAAAACTTGACATTTTCAAGGACGCCATCTTGTTTCCAGGCTGTTACTAACTGCAGCGATATACTGATAAAAGAGGACGGAATTATCATAGTTATCGGTACATATTGGTGTCTAGAATAATTTGTATTTACATAAAGTTTGTTCAACCTGTACTTGTTAGTTTGACAAAGTAAACAAGGATAACAAGAGCTCTGAGAAATGTTCAGTAAAATTTGCTCAGCCATATCGATGTGGCATCGAGATAAAAGAATCATCTAGTTATATTTGGTTAAGTTTGAATGCACCAAATTTCGTAGCTACAACGTTGTAGCTCTAGAGAACTTGGCATAGAAGAGTGGATAGGGGCAGGCTCATCTTTCCTTTTTCCTGTATATGTATATTTAGCCGTACACAATTGTTTTATTTTAATTTTTGACAAGATTTCCGGCCAGATAATGTTTCATGAATTTTCCACATTCGCCTGGCCTGTGTCAACACGGTGAAGGGTTCCAATTTAGTAAAAGACCACGAACTTACAAAAATAAGCGAAATCCTCTAACAAAAGAAAAGGTAAATTCAGTTGAAAATTAAAAATGGTTTGATATTATTAAAAAAGACACGGCCATTTTGGTTTGATAGGCCTAAATCCTTACAATTGTTGGTTTTTATCAACTCTGCCTTAATTTTGAAAGTGTTAAAGTCGACAATAACGCGAAAAATGGAAAGAAATCATGTACAAACAAATGCTGCCTTGCTTCTTTAGGCTCACTGTAAGCTAATGATCAAGCAACTAAGGACACTAAGAAAGCGAAGATATAAGACAGGGAGCCCAGACATAATAGCCGACTTCAGATATTTTGGTTCAGTGACCATGCACAAAAGAATTGCAGACGAGGCGCTGGGGTAATAAAAGAATAAATCAAGATTATCCATTGTTACCCGGAGCCTCGTCTGCAACTCTTTTGTGTAAAGATACTGAACCAAAATAAGTCGACTATAATCCCAGATGGAAATAGCGAATCCATTCCCCTTTGTTTATCTATACACAAAACGTGTTTATTAAAAACCAAAGGATTGTGAGGTTTTCACAACTCGCTTCCAATGTCACTATTAAAAAACACATCACTACATACAACACTAAAAACACTGTATCAACTCACACTACGAAATAACACACTTCTACAAAGTCTAAACGCGCTGTCAGGCAAAACATGTGATGTGCCTGGTACTGAAGACCCTGCATGCAGCTACGTTACTGTTCTACACATATTGCATTGAAGAACGATGCGTGAATTCAAGAACAAGTTGTCCATGACTGTTATGGATCGGTAATCTCTTTGAATACTAGAAATTTCGTATTGACGCAGATGGGATTAGTTGAATGACTGACTACTGAAGAGTTAGGAGCAAGACACTGCACCTCAGCATGTAAGTCATTCTCTTAACCTGAATTAACTGTTCTTATGAAAAATATCAGTTATGTTGGTTTGAAAATCGTTTTTGCGGAATGGAATTTTGCATTATTGATATCGCATTATATAATATCATTTATAAATCATTAGCATTTAATAACAATGAAATACTATTTGATATGTGTGTTATTATTTATAAACAACAATATTAGTACTGTTCATGTTTATTTTTATTGGTGTTGTTCAACCTATACTGGATTTATGCTGTTTATGTTGTATATACATCAGTTTCGATTTGCCAATTGAGCAAGAACRAAATCTGCCGTGTCATCATAACACGATAACCTTGACGCCTAGTTATAGCATGAGCTTATGTTRTCTGCTCCAAGAGCTTAGATTAAGATTATAAATGMGAACAAAATGRGAACGAAGCAAATAAGTTTAAAGCAAATTTTTAAGGWTGRAACTTCAGTTTAGGTGCGTCATAACTGCCATGTCCTTGTAAGAGGGTAAAGTGTTCYAAAGAAGTCATGCAGCAAGAAACAGCGAGCGCAGGCAACTAAACCACAACATGAAGTMTATTTTTTCTGTAWTARACATRTATTTTTARACATTTTTATGTGAATTACTGTAGTTTTGATTCTTTTGATTCTTATAAGTTGATGTTACAGACATTAATCTTATAAAAAGACACCCATGACTGCCTTCAAGTATATTCGTGTCCTTGGCATTATATTAGGTAAGGAACACCTAAAAAAAATTGGAGTTATGARCAGACCTGTATAGTTGAACGTCGAAGCCCATATTTGGTCAGTTGTATTGAACTCAATCCACGCGAAGTTCGGTGTTTAAACCAGACTTCCCATACACGACCARACACTAACTTCGGCATAAGATATTCAGCAATGAAACCACTCAAGTTCAAGTATCACACTGTCAATGATTTTAKACATTTTTATGGTATGTATTTTGGCATGTCATTACTTCATTCTCATGATTAGCAGGAAGTCATTATTGAATGTGGTCATGTCACACTATTTTATTTTTTATCGATTTGTAGGTATTTCATTGCTGATCAGAGATTCCCACAATTCAACAAGGTACATCAGTGGGTTCTACTTACTTCTTGGTCTGATATTTTAGCTTTTCAATATGTTGAAATACATCTTAACTCACTTAATTATTTCTCTTTAGGGTAAAAAGGACAACACCTCTTGTTACCGAGATTTACGCTCTCGACTATTTCGTTGAATTGATTGAGAAGATCGAAGAAAATGTAACAGGAATTTACAAGGTGGCGGATCATATTCGCTCACTCGCATATAATGACGACTACTGGGAAAATGTCATTGGTAAGCAATGATTGACAGGTACTGATTGGCAGTATGAATATACAGTCATGATTGACAGCCATCATCGACAGTACTGATTGACAATGTAAATAGACAGTCATGATTGGCAGACATCATCGATAGTAGTGATTGACAATGTAAATATACAGTCATGCTTGACAGCAATAATTGACAGCCATGAATCCACAGTACTGACTGGCAGTATAAATAGACAGTCGTGATTGACAGGAATGATTAACAGGCATCATCGACAGTACTGATTGGCTATATAAATAGACAGTCATGACTAACAGTCATGACAGCAATGATTGACAGCAATGAATCAACAGTACTGATTGGCAGTATAAATAGACAATCATGATTGACAGCAATGAATCGACAGTACTGATTGGCAGTATAAATAGACAATTATGATTGACAGCAATGAATCGACAGTACTGATTGGCAGTATAAATAGACAATCATGATTGACAGGAATTATTGACAGTCATCATTGATAGTCATCATTGACAGTTATCCAATGCTTCATTCTTCATACTTCATTATCGCAACAGGACCATCCAAACCCCTTCCTAATGGCATTTTGACATCGGCCGAGAAATCCGTCATGACTACAATGGTTTCTCACATGTATGTTGGAACGAGGGAGCAGGGCGTGGTGAGGACGTCAAACGGAGAAACGATCGCTATTGGTAGCATAATGACTGGAATAATGGCGGGAATTTACCGCAAGAAATCATTTACCTTGAATAACTGGGCTGCAGGAGCGACAAAGGTAAGACTGGCTGCAATAAAGTACTATAAGAAGAGAAAGTATAAGTGTTGGACTACTGCGTGTGTGCTGTGTCAGTAGAGAGCTTAAGCATGAAGTGACCTGATCACGTGACCAGCTTTTGGGGGTTTACCGTTACAGTTTCAACGCGAGAGTGGGTTATTTTGAGTTTGTCATAATTGTGAAAAGTCTCTCTTTCAAATGACTACCAAAAGTACAAGGTAAGACACGAAATTCTTAGGTCATTGGTTCAGCTCTGCGTTAGCAGTAACTTAAACTCTCTACGTCAAAGCACAATCCCAGTCTCCCACCCGACAAACGGGGAACAGGGAGCCCAACCCGAGCAGCAGCTGTGTGGATGCAATCTTATCAGAGTAAAAGACAACGAAAGATCACCATCTGTAACTTTTCATTTTGTTTTACAGAACATCGACAATCTTTACGCCGCTACGCTTMCAAGAACTCTTGCAGAGACTGCTCTCGCCAAGAAAAACACTCCGTCTAATGAGCTATTTGGTCCAGCTGGATCATGGAATAGCGATGAATGCCCAAAGCAATACACTAAAAATTCAAGTTCGATATCAAAAGCGTCCTATGCACAGTTGCTTGGTGCTGTAGATGGGTTTATATTGGGATATGGAATACAAAATTGGGCCCGGGATAGCCGCTTAGGACAGATATTCAGAATGTATTATACGACAGGTTAGTCATGTGATTTGGTGGTCTTGGCTAAGCTACAAATAAGAGCGCATAACTTGTTTTAGAACTTGTCGAAAGTGCTGAAAGTCTTTTAATAAGAATCTTTCTACCACTGAAAATACACGAAGTAAATGGGAATCCTCGGTCTAGAAATAACATTTAATTATTTACAGGTTCTGAGTCTTGCCTAGGACGGCGCGCGCTCCAAAAAGCGGCTGATATCATAAGCAATAACTTTTACTTATTCCGTGTTCTTTGTCTTAAATATTAACTTTGTATTTGCAGGAATTTGTTTTGACAAATCTTTCGCCAGCTGTAAGCGTATCAAGAAGTTACAAGCACTAACGAATAAAGAAGACTTGACCAGCCAGGTTTATGGAGTTGCMGAGGCTCTTCATATCAAAAACTCTGCAAGCTACCCTAATGTTKAAAAAGACAATATCCTTCAGATCTCAAAGGACGCTGCTGAAAGGTTTTTCCCGAAAATAGGTAAGACTTGGCAACCCATAACTSAGGATTTTTGAGAATACTTCGTCCTTCCTAATGCAGTTCCCAGCGTCATCTTGAAAGGTAACCGTGCCTTTGCATTGAAGCGAGGCAGTGGTGGGGTCTCAGTGGCAGATAACTTTTTAGACCTATCACTGTGAACTCATTTCTGTCTCGTTTTGATACAAAGGCTCGGTTACCTATCAAGAAGCCGCCTTTTAAAATGAGCACTGTGCAAACTCGTCTCATCTTTTCTAAGAGAGTGTTGCCGTTGGTCATTCCTGTGTTACAACACAGCCAGGCTGCGAACTTCCAGCAAATCTTGTGTTTCTTATGGATGAATCGGGTAGTATCACCTCAAGTAACTTCAGAGACGAAAAAGAATTTGTCAGGTAAAAACCAAGAACACCACTCCATCTATTATATAATATGATTCTCCATTGCCGCATCATTTTGCGATAATGCCAGAGAATTTGTAGACAAACTTTTGGACAACCTTTGGGAATGTTATGGTGACTTACGGTAGATTACATGTAGCCAAAAAAAATATGATAATTTTCCTTAATTGTTGCTTATTAATATGTACTATTTTTTGTTAGTAAAATAGTGCTGTGCGTTAAAACGATAAGACAATATCATTTCTCATTTTATGTAGCCAAATCATAGACAAATTCAACATTTCTCCACGACAAACCAGAGTTGGTCTCATTGAGTTTGGGSAAGTAGCAGCCATTGACTTCAACCTCGATGTTTATGGCTCTAAATCCAGGCTTAAATGCGCTATAAAAGATACCGCACAAAGAAGTAAGTATTCAGTTATGACATGCTTGTAAAAAGGTAAATGAAAGAAAGGTGTTGTACRAGTCGTCTTTTCCTCTATTGACGTCATGCATGTTCTGGCGAAGTGCATCATGGTATTGATGAATGGCGGATGCKCAACAAAAACTACGAAGGAAAAAGTTTGTTTGCGAAATACCCACACACTAAAATATATCCTTTAACTAGACGCTCTTGGAGCGTGAAGTCGGACTAGTTATTTTTGAAAATTGATAAAGACAGGATTTTACATGGATGCGCGTATAGGAGAACGAGTGAAAGGTTTTAAACACGATAAGATTATGATGTTATATTCTGTCTTATCATATGATTATATTATGAATGTAAATTATGGCGTAGAATATATATTTTTTTACTTCTAATACATAGTGAAAGGAAGAATGCGTTACTTTCATTTAAATTAATGTACTGCTCAAAACCGTTTATTCACACGATACGATATTCTTTTTGACTGCTCTCTGCAACAACTTCAAAGCGATAGAAGTCTAAATTTGACTTAAAAGGTCATGTAATTAATACCCTGCGAATTACTAACGATATTTGTACATCTATAATACGTTTGAGCTTCCGGTCATGTAATAACACAGCCAGCAAGTAGATAATTATTAAATTCTTAACTTCCGGTGGTCCAAACGCTACAAAATACACAGACAGACAGATTGATTGAATGGCTAAAAGGTAAAACTTAAGTCGACCTAGCCTTCGGCTAGTCCGACTGAAAGGGACTGTCTGGGAAATAACCAATGCTTTTCGTTAAATACCAAAAAATACTTTGWATTTTTGAGCGCCTCGCCAATGTCATTAATGGACGGGGCCATTTTGACTTCGCTAGCTCATGAAATTTGTTTGTCAAATTTCAGGGGGAAAGACAAATACAGCAGGGGCTTTGGATTTAGCTCGAACAGAGATCTTTCTTCCTTTAKAAAAAGAACATGAA